GTGAGTGTCGGCATGGAGAGAAATAAAAATCTGAATCAATATTTAGAAATGAGACTTGTCTTGTGCATTTTTCTAAATTCGTATTTTAGTTGTATTTATAAATATATATATGTCCCCGAATTAAACCACATTTAAATCACAAGATCCAGATTTGAATGTGGATCTGCACCAAATTTCTCACACTCATAAGTCCTCTGTTCTGACCATGGTGTTGTTGCAGTCTCTTGTACACTGCCCCTCATAGAATTTAAGGGGTTACCAAATTTTCATTCAAAGTTGTAAACTGCCACTTCACTGGTTGGTGGAAGCAAACAACCCTGAGGTGATAGCTCTAGTTTTTTTCAACCCCCTATAATGTTTTGAGACGGTTTTAGTATAAATTTGACAACATGCATCTCTTTAAGAATTCTTTTGGAAACAATGTAATGGTTTTGCAGTTGTCGACATTACAAGTCTTCTCTTTGTGTTGTTTCTTTGCCAAATCATCAGGTTCTGAGGCGTAATTCATCGACAGCCTTTAATTAACCTTTGTGAAAAGTCCAGGTCAATACTTTCCGACCAGCTGTGCTAAAAACAGAAATCAATAAGCTGCTGGGTGCGTGAGAGAGCGTCACAAAAGGAGGAGGAGTCATCGGCGATGTTCGCACAGATGATTCTTCATCAGATCTGCAGCTGATGCTCAGATCTGATATTTCAGGGATTAATAACTGAGCTCAGAGGAAATGCACAGGTTCCTCTAGAGGTCGTAGGTATATAGTTGACGCTCATCTAACCTCTGACCTCTGAACTTTGAATAATGAGTAATGTGGAGATACCTGCTGGTTTAAAGGAGCTTTTACAGGGATACGCTGTGGAGGTGCTTCGCTGCAGGCCCCCGAATCTGGTGGAATTTGCAGTGCAGCATTTTACACAGCTTCTGGAAAACCAAAGGAACCAGCGATCCAAGAAACACAAACCAACGAGAAAAGGAGTCACATTTGAGACAAACAAGTCCACGAAGGATGAGGAAGAGGACGAGGAAGACGACATTAGTGAGTAGTACTACATGGTTCTGTTTGTTTTCTGCTCAGTAAAGTTTAACTTGAGGAAATAACACCCAACAACAAAGATTCACACTGTCAGCCTCACACAGGGAATTGTTCTCTGCAAAACATTTTTTAAACTGCAAGGTCACAGTCAAGCAAATGTCCATGTAAACAAAAGCAGGATTTATATTCTGTTTACCGACAACTGCAGCTACAATCAGCAGATCATATCAGAATATCATCATATGATAGAAAATAAAACCCTAAATCCATAAACAATTCACCATGCATGTAAAATACATACAGGACATGTGGGACACATGTATATATTTTAAAACATTATACACTTTTTTGCAGAAAAGTGAATATGTACAGTGTTAAGATGAGAAGAAACAACCTGATCAAATGTACTGTAATAAAGTCCCCATCATCTCTCTCTCTGCAGAGTCGACCACCGGTAAATACAGTCGCAGAGTTTCAGGTCAGTCACTGGAGCATCATGTGTGATGAATATTATCTAATGTGGACCAGGCTGCAGTGTTTTAAACTGGCTCTTCCTGCTGCAGTTTGTGCAGAGGCCTACAACCCCGATGATGACGAGGACGATGACACGGAGCCTCGGGTTGTGAATCCCAAAACTGACGAGCAGCGACAGAGACTTCAGGACGCGTGCAGATATATTTTACTCTTTAAAACATTGGAGGGGGTGAGAATTATATTATATTGTAAGAATGATGAATAACAAATATTTTCTTTTGTGACAGTAATTTTCAGGGAAAATTTGATGATATATATTGTACACATAGTTGTACAGACACACAAACATACAGTATAAAGTGTATATTCTTCTGCTCTGTCACTTATTTTTCTTACTTATGGATAATATCTTGATGTGTTTGTTCGCCTTACACAAAGCTTGTTCTTTTTTAAAACATGTTTTTCACATAAACCTGCCTCATATCTTCCAGGAGCAGTTTTCGGAGGTTCTGGACGCCATGTTCGAGGTGCTGGTCAAACCTCAGGAGCACATCATCGATCAGGGAGACGACGGAGACAATTTCTACATCATAGAGAAGTGAGAGGATGTTTTTTTTCCTCGGGTCTAGACACTGATGATGACTGATGGGATCAGATGAGATGAGGGGACTGGATAAGAAGACTGGAGGTGACTGAGGAGGAGGAGGAGGAGGGGGGTCAGGGCCAATCATTGTAATGACAGCTGACTGTGACGGAGAGGAGAAGTGATTTAAAGTCTGACAGCAGCAACATGGTCGGCTGATTGAGATCATGGCAACCAACTATTGGATTATCGTAAACATCCAAGTTCGCTGATTAGATGAGACTGGGAGAGCGAGAGATAACTGTGCATGAACGAGACATAGAAAGTTGGACTGATTGAACTTACGCTTTGCTTCATTACAATCCAAAACCAGTGGAAGAACAAATGAATAGCTTAGTTAGCATTAATAGCATTAAAACATACAAGGTAATTAGAAAGTTTAGGAAAAAAAACAATAATAAAATTACATTTCATGATTTAAAAGACAAATGTTAGTGGGACAAAAGAAAGAGTTCTTGAATTCCATGTTGCAGACTGTATCTGTGGCCGGACGGGGGCAGGGGGATCTCCTGGGACAGGGGTCGACAAGGATCCAGTTGACTGGGTCTTCTTCAAGGTCCATTATCTTGTGGAGCCCTGACAGGTCGTTCAGGTGTCGGGCCTGTGATTTTGCTGCACTGTCTTTTTGAGGTTAAGAGATCCGCACCAGCAGATGACAGAAAATTGGGATAACAAATTTTCATGATGGCGGTGTCGAGAATAAAATAACAGAGCTTCAATGCTAAACTAGACGATGTCAATCTGATAGCGCCCTCCCTGTTTTCTCTGTGTGCCATCATCTCCAGGGGTGTGTACGATATCTTTGTGAAGAAGGATGGAGTGGATTTGTGTGTTGGAAAGTACGACAACAAGGGGAGTTTCGGTGAGCTGGCTCTGATGTACAACACTCCACGAGCTGCCACGATCGTCGCAACGCAGGAAGGCGCCCTGTGGGGCCTGGTGAGTCCAATGATTTCCACCAGGAGAGACTTTGAATGACAAAAGAACAGAATGTTATGGCCGAGCACAACAAAAAGAGAAGGGAATGTGATATAAATGGACATAGACCCCCTGAGATGTCGTCATGGTTGACCCCCACCCCGCATTGCAAAATAGTTTTGGCCCACCCTGTTGTCCGGCCCACTTACCACGTGGAATCTCTCTTAATAAGAATATTGCAAATATCACATTTATTGAAAGTGAATGAAGACATTAGACAATCTTATACTGAGGAGGAGCATTTACATACATCTACAAGTCTACTGAAATAAACCGAATAATGATTAAACACAAAACTAATTTTTTTGGTTGTTTCTTTTTTAGGACCGAGCCACGTTTCACAGACTGATCGTGAAAAACAACGCAAAGAAAAGGAGGATGTACGAGGCCTTTATCGAGTGTGTTCCTCTTCTGAAGTCTCTCGAGGTTTGGGATCTGAAACACAACCTCTACACAAACAACATTATCATTGAATACGTGGTTGTTCAGTCGTCTTGTGCGTCCGGTAACTTCAGGCATTTGATTTGTCATCACGCTTCGTTTTTCTTGTCACAAGCTCTCTGAGAGAATGAAGATCGTGGATGTTTTGGGAGCACGTGCGTTCAAAGATGAAGAGCGAGTTATAACACAGGTACAGCTGTGGGAGATGTGTTTGAGCGTATGTTCATTTAATGTTGATGAGATAAAATGAACACGTGTTTCTGTTCCTGCAGGGGGATCAGGCTGACTGCTTCTACATTGTGGAATCAGGAGAGGTGAAGATAATGATAAAAAGCAAAGTGAGCACAATTTTTAGTATCATAACTGGAGCTATTCTAATTGTAACTGAAGCTATTTTCATTTTCTAAATAGTTATTTTTGTTTTTCCTGAATGTGATAACTTAAGGTCCTACAATGTGGTACAAACTTTCACTAGGGCTGAAAGATGATTCAATTTTGGTAGATGGTCAAAAGGTCACTGTGATCTTATGATTATATTTTAGCGGTCAAGGTCAAAGGTTACAGTGACCTCATGACTTGTAAATGTGATACATCAGGAACACTGATAAGGAATTTCATTACATTTGGCCCAAACATTCATTACTACTCAAGGATGACCTGATTGGAATTTGGGTTTGCCAAAGTTCTAAAACCTTTTCTGCCTTGTGAACGCGTTATTGATATGTCAAGTCTGCCTTTAAGGAATTTCTTCAGATTCTGACCATATTTTTTAGCATAAGGTTCATTACTTATTTGTTGTGTCTGGTAATGCATACATGTATATAACATCACAGTGCTAAATGAGGGCAGCAGTCTCAGGTGTCTCTGTGTGTCACAGACGCAGGCGAGCCAGCAGGACAGTGCTGAGGTGGAGGTGGCTCGCTGCACTAGGGGGCAGTATTTTGGAGAACTTGCGCTGGTCACCAACAAACCTCGAGCAGCATCAGTTTACGCTGTGGGAGAAACCAAATGCTTAGGTATGTGTCAATGTTTTTCATTAGCAACGGCACAGTTCCTTAAAACTCTGCAGTTTTGTTTTCAGTGAAGGGGGCTGTAGTTCAGGTTGGGGTGCTGATGGTCGCTGGATGGGGCTGAGTCACAGTCTGTCCTTCATGGGTTTTTATTACAATTTTGACTCTCTTTCACAACATATGTGCTCGAAAATATCTATATAAATGCATATTATGCATGATAATAATAATTATTATCCATTATTATGGATGGGTTACTGAATGGGTCTATTGAGCACGGGCCCAGTGGCATGAGGGGTCAGACAGCCCTAGAGCCTTTGTGTAAAGTGACTATTGATTTTTTGTTTGAAAGACTGCAAACATAAAACAAGCACAAAGAGACACCAAATATTTACAAGGCAACATTATATGACCACAAAAAACACACAGAATGATCAAGGAGACACATTCACGAGTGAGAGAGGCAAAAAGAGGCTTAACCAAATGGAGAGACACTTATGTATCACAGAATACAGGGATAAAAGCAAAATGACCATAAAGAGACTCAAACCAACGACACTTAAAATGATGACAGAGAAACACACTAAACCACAGAGATGCACAACGGCCACAGACACCCTATTCAGTGAACAGAAGAATTTACACTTAAAGTGGAAATGTTTTCTCCTCCTACAAGAGGGATAGTTGAACTCTAAGTCTACTGTCGTGGAATTTAGATTTGATTCATGACACATCAGATCATAAAGTAAAGTAAAATTTGAATTCTGACCAAACATTTGATGCCGCATTTTGGTACTTGACTATTTTGAAATCTCAGCGCTGCAGTGAACCTTTTGACAAATGAATACCTCCATAAAGAAATAAAACCTTTGAACCATGGTTCCAGGAAGTAGACAGGGACCTGAGTTCACTGCACAGGCTTCAATTCAACAGGGCAATTCAATGAATCAGGATGCCGGCTGGTTCACTGTGAAAAAACAACTATATTATCCACAGATAATACATACCACATATACTGTTTTCTCTTGAAATCCTCATTTGACATCATATTGATGCACTGCACATGATGACAATGTGTGACAGGGCAAACTGATATATATGTTTGTTGTTTCTGGAAATGGAAACTCCTGAAATGGGAAAACTTACTCTCGATGTCTGTTTTTCCTCTAGTCATCGACATCCAGGCGTTTGAGCGTTTGCTGGGCCCCTGTATGGACATCATGAAGAGGAACATCTCCCAGTATGAAGACCAGCTGGTGGCGCTGTTCGGCTCCAGTGTGGACTTGAAACACTAGTTCATGAAAATTATAAATCAGCATGTCAAACATAGGTTTTGCATGTAACATGTGATTATCGTCCCCCTGAGGTAAGAAGAGAGGGACGTCTGTTTTATGATCAGTAATATGAACTGTTCCTGTACCTGCTGATCAATATGTTAAAGTAGAATAAACCATGTTTATCATTTGACAATCCTGATCCTATCAGCCAAAGCAAAACTAATACTTGATTACACCTGACTGATGGATGGAGTCAATGTAACACAGATGGTCTGTATTTAGATAGAGCTTTACTAGCCTTGATGAACCCTCAAATTAAAATGTTACCATTCATACACATGTATACAGTGCATCTACATTGCAGCACTTGCTCTATCATCGGCATGCTGACAGGTATCGAGCCGACGATCTCCTGGTTGTTGGACAACCTGCTCTACCTCTAGTTAATTCCCTGGCAGTTCAGTATAATGGAGGCATTACTATGACGTGCATAACCCTCCCACCCAACAGTACAGTACACCCTCAGATTCCTGAGTGGTTGATGATTTTAGGAAATTTAACATTTTATGGAACCTTTTATACAACTCCTGGTTAATTTCATGTGTTGTTCGTGTTATGGCAGATTTTGACATGTCACAATAGGAAAACAGCAGCTGTGAATAATGCAGCGGGGCTTACATGAAGGGGTTTACAGGAGCAGAGAAGCTCAGATCAGAAAAAACCGAGGGAGGGTGACTGCGTTCTCTCCACTGCTGTTGGACTACTGTATTTTTATTATTCTGGATTTTATTGGAGTGTAAGCTGAATAATAGAAACCAATCTACTTATAACACAATACAGTTATTAAAACTCTAACCGAAAACCCATATGACACAAAAAATAAAAGATTGTTTCATAAATATTCAAATTTTCTGGAGTTTGTTTTATTTGAGTTACAAAATCTGAAGTGCCATCAACAGACTCCACAGGAGAGTCTGCCAACCTTCTTGAGTTACAAGTATTTACACCCAAAAGTCATCATATCCATCAAAATTTTCCACACTGTGCTCTGGTTTTCCCCAGAGTTCAAATCTCTGTTGTCCAAGTTCCACAGTCAAAGTTTAAATATTTAAAATATTTACAAAGTCCTGTATTCAAAAACTCCCAAATCATACTGTAGCTTGTTCAATGCAAAGACAGGTGCCGGATGTGGGACTGCGTCAGTAGTGAGAACATGAGCAGAGCTGGTGGAATTAAAGGAGCTGTTAAACAAACGTGGTCCTCTACAGGATCTCCGTTAATTCTTCCTCCTCTAAAGAAAACCTGGGTGAGGAGGTCTGTTTATAATTTAAAATTACACATTGAAATGTCATTCTAGCCATTGTGGTACAACAGCCTCTATGATCCTCTCTGGTGAAGAAATGAATAGGACAATTGTTAAAAAAAGACAGAAAAAGAAAAGGCCACCCAAATAGTCACGCTTGCTGATCAAACATCCTGAACTTTTTTTTATCAAAGCATCTCTGAACATTAAAATTAAACTCCAATAAATAGAAATACAGCAGAGAAATGGTCAAATAAGATTCTGGTTCGGTCCATCCCTGAGTTCTTTTGAGAAGGACAAAAATACCAGACAGGAGTGACAAAAAAAAAAAATCAAATAGAGACTGATGAAAAATAAAAACGAAAAGAGTTGATGGGTGTATCCTACACATTCCTATTGTGTTCAGGAAAAAAAAATCTCATATTCCTCTGGTTTCCTGAGGCTCATTGTCGAGAACATTCATCTGTGGGACGGTTCCCAGCAGTGAAGGTTACACAGAGGTGATGACAATCATGAGGTGTGGCGAGATGCTGGAGATCCTGTTGAGGAGGTCAGGGGCAACCTGGGATAAGTGGCTCTCTGAAAATTCACACGGTGGGAAAATCTGTAGCACATAGGCGGGCTGAAAAATAAAAAACAAGGGACAACCTGAATAATAGATATGAAGTTACAGAGAAACAACACATTTGCTTTCTGGTAATATGCATCGTTTGTACCAGTAAATAATCCATATGGTTCATGCATGGAAAATAGGTGAGACATTTAAATAAGACTGTAAAGTCGCACAAAGAATTTAGCTGAACACTTGGTTTTAAGTTTTATTCTATTCTATTTATTGGTTCAGATTTTTACAATGTGCTTCATTCTTATATAATGTATTTTGAGAGTGTGTATTTCTCTTTGTTTGGGTGAGATCACAAAGATAATTTACTATCAATTAACTTTTTATCATTTAAAGAATGTGATTAGAGAGAAAAATCTTTACTTATAAACCTTATCTCACCTGATTGGAACCTGGGTTGGGTATATTAATGATACCAGCAGCCAACTTTGTCTGCAAGTAGTTGATAAAAGCGGCCTTAAGAGCTTGAGTTTGATTTAGGACATCGTCTTGATCTCGTCCACATGGTAGAGCGAGGAGAAGACAGTATTCACTGTCCCCCTGCAGATGGGAAAAAGTTGTTAGCAAAAATAAAATGATGTTTGCAGACTCAACTTAGTAAAACAAGGGTGTAGTCAATGGGAGTTATTTAAAACACACGTACTGTCATTCTTCTGGCTACACTCTCAAGTTGTGAAGCCTCTAGTCTCATTCTCTGGACAATCCTAAGCAGTGCACCTCCTTCTTGTAGGGGCAGTGATCGATGAGCCAAAACTTTGTTGCCACAGACAAAATGCAGTTGGACTGCAGCTGTGTCATTCTTCAGTGCCAGCAAGCCTTGCCACACAATAGGGTATTTCTGTTTAAATATGAGACAAAACAAAAAGCAAGTTTGTCAGACAGCTGTCTTTGGGTCAGACCAAACAACCTGAAAACAATTGTGACAACTTGTCTCACCGTGAGCAACTGCACCATATTAGCAGGCTGCGTCATCTTGCCATCTGGTTTTGTCTGGAGTTCTGTACCCTAAGTATTCAACAACATAGGAGCATTGTGTCATGAGCAGCTTCTGTAACATGAGAATATCAACACACATTTGCAGGAACACCTAGCTACAACCAATGCAGTCTGATTCAAGAGCCCTGCAGTAAATTCTACCGTCATGAAGGTTATAATGTTCAGTTTCTGGAGAAATTGTTTTAAAAAGGTCTTGACAGTCTAATTATTTTTGAAACTGCAGGTTGTGATGCTGTTGATCACTTTTGCATTGTATAGACGTTTGTCTCGTAGGAAGTCGACCTTTACTGATATACAGCGAGTGGACTAAATAGTGCAATGGTATCTGATAATCTGAATGGTAAGAACATCAACAAACTCACGATATTTGGGGTGACATTCAGTGGTGGCTGGTTAACAGGAGACGTCTCTGGTAGTTGAGAATGGATGCCTCTTGGGTTTGGGTACATCCCTGTGAATGAACCACTGGGTCCTGGTGGCATGAGCTGTACTCTCTGGGGAGACGCCATTGCTGGTCCACATTGTCGCATACCTATCACTCCATCTTTAGGAAGAGGGGAGTGGGGCCTCTTTGCATCTAATGGCTTTGTTATATCCTTCTCAGTCACACCTTTAGGTAAAACATGTGGTCTTGGCGACAGGGGGGGAATCTCTTGGATGTGTCCAGAATGTGGGTCTGGGGCCGAACGCTCTCCCTGTTGGTGCAACAGTACACGCATGTCTCTCTGTGCTATGTATGTTTCCAACTGGACACCACTTCGCAATGACCCACGAGGATCTGACTGCATGGTCTCCTGTTTTAGCTGTGTGCTCGGTTGTCTTCCTGCCATGTGGAAGTGTCTGGCTTCTTCCTGTTCCCCATCATGACTCCTCAAAGAACCAGGGTTTACCTTGAGCACCTTGTCTCTGCCAACAGCCTGGGGTGAGGCTGGCCGTGGCTGCATTGGACCAGACCAGGGAGACGCAAGAGGCTCACTATGCATCCCATAGCTCATCACAGAGAGAGGTGGAGTATTGACACGGACATCTCCTTGGACAAGATGGCCCACTGGAATTGATTGGGTAACACAGTGAGGAGACATCCGCCCTAAGCCTCCAGGCACACTGTGAGGTGGCATGATCACTGTCTGCTCTGGATGATGTACACCAGTAATAAACTGCTGCATGGCAGGAAGTCCAGTGGATAACATCACTGGTATGCCTTTAGGTGATGAGGAGCCTATAGGTGAGGACACTTTAGTAAATGGAGAGTGTGGATGACCTGACTTGCGTGGAGATCGTGGTTCTTGTTTGATGCCACTGAGATGTGAAGGAGCTCTGTCACCAGCTGCTGAAACAAAACCTACATGGTTGCCTGGTGGAGAGGGTAAATGGGGGCTTATAGCTGGACTTATAGCAGATGTCCAAGGTGGTTTAGCTCCATCAGTACTATGAGGATCAACACTGTCCATTTTCTTCTGATGTTTCAAAGGCATGTAATCCTGATGGTAACCCATTACTTGCTGGTTAGCCGGTGTGAGACGCTTCACTACTCCTTGAGGTCCAGATTGGTAAGTGGATTCAATCTTTTCTAAACCACAGCTTTCTTGTTTAATAGATAAAACAGACTGCGTCTTACCAGGATGCCCATGATCTGCCTGCAGTGACGACCCCTTCTGAAGTCCTGACTGAGAATGGCCGTACACTTCCTGTTTTATCTGGGGCATTGACACCAGCTGCTGAGATTCCATTTCACCAGCAGTTGCTTGTGGGATCTGACTTATTTTTGCGCTAATCCGTTGAGGTCCCTCTGTTTTCTGGCCTGAGTGGCTCAATACAACCACTCCTTCAGATGTATTTACCCTCAGACCAGGGCAGGATCCTATACCAATTGTGGGACTCTCAACGATGAAACGTGAAGCACTTCCACCCTCATCACCAACAGATTGCCCATGGTATGATCCAGTATCGTCTTTACTGGGCCTATAGGTGGATTTGGGTAGAGTCATGTCCACACAAGGATTTCCAATACTCATGTTTACTTTGTTTTCAGGCTCAGGAGGGTTACATACACGGCTGATAACAGAGGTTGCAGTGGATGCAATAACAGAGATCACAGACTTGGTCTCAGGGGATGGCAGCGTGGCTGGTGGTCTAACAACTGACAGGGCTGAATGAGCACCCACTCTACTATCATGTAGTGGTGACTTATTTGGCACAATAGCTGATGGAGTATTACTTTCAGATTGGTTTTGATCTCGGAGGGAGGGTAGATTACTGGAAACAGAAGCGCTGCCTGGCAGTGAAATGTTTTTATGTTTCATGAGTATCTGTCTTAAGTCACTTGTACCGTGTTCAGTTTCCATGTTTTCAGATTCTGAAGGTAAAGGCTGGTTTTCCTTTGAGGTCAAAGTCACAACAGGTGAAGTGGAGGCACCTGCATCTTTAGACTGTTGGCGCCAATCTGGAGGAGAAACAGAAATTCTACTTATTTGCATGGGTCTGATATTGGGCTTATTGGCAAGTGGAGACAAGGAAGGGGAGATGCACTCAGATGGCAGCTGCAGAGGCTTTGGGCACACTGGACTTTTAGACAAGGGGTAAGCACATTTAAGATGTTGAATTTGTTCTTCAGAAGATGATTCAGACTCTGCATTTATATCAGTAGCCTTGACAACAGAAGGTTCGGGTTCTGGCTTCCAAGCAGTAGGAGTAATAACTGTCGCAGTTGCTGATGGAGTTGTCTCAGACATAACCATTACACCAGAAGCTATGCTCTCTGTTACTGTAGCCGTCAGTTCCTCACTTACAGAATGTCCTTCCTTTATATCCTTTCTTACTTGCTTTTGGGTTTTCTGACGTTTTGGTGTTTTAGGTCTGCCCTTGGTTCCCTTTTTGGGCGTGGTTTGAAAAACAGGTTCCTCCTGTATGG